AAAAGTGGTTTGTGAAGTTTCTTGATCCTATCGACATTTTGGCCAAATAATTCTTTGCTGTGAAGCTGTCTTATGCACTGGAAGATATTTAGCAGCACCCCCGGCCTCTACTCATTGGAAGCCAATAGTGGCAGAGAGCTGACATACTCAAAATACACAAATCAATAAAGTTATTGGTAAAAATGAAAAATGTGTATTTTACAGAGAAAACTAAATGGACATTTTAGCCAACCCAATATATTCCACTAAGAATACAGAGTCAGGACATTAAACTAAAAAATTACTTGACTTAATTCTTTTCTTGTAGAAGAATCAAGTTGATACAGTTAGGTTCATTGTCTCTGCTATGGTTCACTTAAGGGTTTGCTTTTCTTTTCTCTTTCTTTTGCATCTAATTTCACTAGTGATTATGTAAAATATTTACCTGCTTCAAAAATCAAAACTGCCTGAAAAGATATAATCAGTAAAGTTTTACTCCCATTCCTACCTCCTCTACCCTGTTCCTACCCACCCTCTATAGGTAACCATTTTAATTAATTTTTGGTTTATCCCACCTGTGTGTGCAGTGCACACACACATGCACACGTCTGTAAACAGTATTATTTCTCCTGCTTTCTCCACCCAAAGGTAGTATGTTACATGCAATCTTTTGAATCTTGCATTTTCCATTTAATAACATATCCCAGAAATGATGTCATAAGTTCATAGGGCTCCTATTCATTATTTTTGGCCTCATAGCACTCAATTATATGGATGTATGGATGTATGGATGTTCACTCAACCAGTCGATTAAGAATGGGCATTGGGTAGTGTCCAATGATCCCCTTTCCTGTTATAAATATACCTCAGGGAATCAATCACCTCCTGCATATGTCTTTTTGTGTTTGCAATTGTGCATTTTTCTGGATAATTTCCTAGAAGTTGAGCCACACCACTGCTGGGTGAATGCATATGCTGTTTTGCTAGAATCTCCTCTCCTTAGGGACTGTACTGGTTTGCACTCCTGGCATTGATTTCACAATCTAGGTGGATCTTGCTGTGAGGTGCTCTGAGAGTTTGTCTGGGCCAGCCTGAGAGTCTTTGCCTCCTCACCAATAAGACATTATCCCAAGCCCTCTGCCCTAGAGATCTGACAAGAAGGCAAGAGTGAAGGTCTCTCGATTCCATTCCAGTTCATCTCCCTGAATTTCTTTACTTCACTTGCAAAACCAGAGCACAGAGAAGTGATGAGGCTGAAGACTTTAGGCAGACAGGAACTAGAATGAGGAAAGGCAAAAGAGGGCAGGGGACTCTTGCCACATGGCACCTATCTTCTCACCTCTTTTCTCTCCTTTGGCCTCTTCACTATCCCCCCAACAGCTCCTCTCCTGACCAGGGCTCTGGTTCTATCTAACTAGATCCTGCCTGGCTTCCCTTCTCAACCCACCTTCATGTGGGCTGAACACACAGGACGGGTGTAGAGTGGAGGCAGAAGTCCAAAGTCCCTGTGATTTCTGTTTTAACATGTGCAGAGGAAATTAAGTCAGTGGAACAAAAATGGCTCATACAAGGAAAAGAGGAAAAAGGAGACAAAGAGAGATGCTGGGAGAGGAAGCAGAGTACAAAACATTCCACACAAGTCTCTTGGACTCCAGTCCCAGTGCCTGCTTTATTGCTATGACCGGTTCTACAGAAAGGGGAAACGAGTGGGGAAAGGATGCTGTCCCAGTTTGAGGAGGCCCAGGTGTTCTGCTTCCTCATGACCCAGAGGCCCTGCCTTTCTCAACCCTCTCTTCTCCTCACCCCTGCCCACCAAATACCAAGTGGGAACGACAGGGATCAATGCATGTCCGAGGAGCAGGGAACTGAAGAGTTCCTCCAGGGAAGGCAGTGAGGTGCAAGGTAAGGCATTCATTCCTCTTCAAGGTCAAATCAAACACCTGGGTCATCCTTAGCCAAACATCCTTTTTAATTAATGTTCTGGAGACCAAGAATGAACACCTTCCTTTCCTTCCTCCAAAGCTTGGTGGACTAGAATACCCTAGATGAACACAGCTTATCCATCCATGTCTTTGGGTGCTGGGCCCAAGACCAGGAGCATAGAATAAAAGAGAAAAAGGCCCATGGGGGTGACTGAGAGAAGCTAAATTCTTGAATACAAGGCAGTTCCCTATGGAATGTTTCAATTGCTGACAGGTGGCAGCTGGGTCAGTGCTGGGTTGGCCAGTCCTCTCTTCCTCTGAAGACCCTTCAGGCTGTGAGGGTGCGGAAAACGAAGGCTCCCCAATACCCTTGCTCAGGGACTTCACACTCCCATCTCCTTCCAGCACTCACAACTAGGGCAAACTCTTAACTGTTTTACTTTTCTGCCCCTCACTGGACCCTCCCGTTTTGACTTTCTTTTGGTACCATAGAGATCTGACAAGTCTGACTCAGCCACTCCCTCCCACTATTACTGTGGAAGCATTAGCCTGGATGACGTGAATCCCAGGCTCCCCCCGAATGCCACTTCCTTCTTCCAGCAAACACTGACCAAGCGTTTTTTACGTCTTGGGCACTGTGATAGGTGCGGGGAATCCTGGAGGCTAAACGAGCTGTGCTCCTTCGACTTGACCTTGAATTTAGCCTGGGAGGTGGACACTGGAAGGGGAGAAACGGAGGCTCCTTAGTCGGCTCAGAGCAGCAGAGGCGCGCGGGGAGCGTCGGCGGCGCAAGCTGGCGCAGAGCGCACGCGGGAGGGGCCACGGGGTCGCAGCCACGGGGTCCAGCTTCGCAGCCCCCAGACCGAGGGAAGGCTGGAGGCCGCGGAGCTGGCGCCTCAGTGCACGATAAATAGAGAACCCTCCCCAAACCTACCGGACTCTATTTCTAGTCAGAGCACTGAAAATAGGAAGGTGGGCTGCAGGAAGGGTGGGATAATGCGCCTAGAAGGAAGGGCGCGCGTGTGTTTGGGGCGGGGGGGCGTTGCGGACGAGAAGCGGTGTACCTCGGCAAGATGGTGGCAGGGAGGATGGGGCTCCAGAGCAGGAGTAAAGAAATGGATCCCCACCCCCCTCCTGGAGAACAAGGACTCGATCTTATCTTGGGTCCCCCGCCCACCTAGAAAGGTCCTCATTCCCTTCTAGATCAGAATACAGGGAGAGAGGGAGGGAGGGAAGGAGGGAAGAGCTTAGGGGTGCAATCAGGTCAACCATCCAACACCTCAAAATGAAGACCGAGGCCCCCAATTAAGCTCTCTTCCAAGTCATTTGCTTCCTTCTTTCCAGTTTCTAAGCCCTCGCTTTACCACTCCTCCAACCAAACCAGCTGGGGCAGGGGGCAGGTGCTTCCTCTCCCCCTGGCCTGACCCCTACAAATGTGTCGGCTTCAAGGTCCAGGACCCCCTCCCAGAGCTAGCTCCCCATGCCACCACCCTGAGCGAACGTGGGATCCTATAGCTCACTAGCCATCAGAGCCACCACCTCTTCCAGACCTCCGCCTACACATATACCTCCCCGCATCCAGTCAGTCCCTCCTGACCGCTGGGTCCCTCTGCACGGCCTGGCCTAGCCAAAGAAGACTCTGCTCTCTTCCCTTCTTCCACGTAAAGAGGGTCTGGGGCTGAGGGGGCTGGAGGGGCACCTCCACCCAGGAAGAGCATAAGGGGCAGCTCTGGGAGGGGCTCAACGAGGGAGGGAAGGACCTTAAGAGCCGAGGATCTCCACCCAGAGGAGGAGGTGGCGCTGTAGAATGGGATTTCACTTCCCCTCCCCCCCTGCGGCTTTAGAGGAGGGCCCGCGAATTTCTTCTTCTGACATCCCTCCTCCCTAAGCCAGCCGGCGCCGACCACGGGTCTGCAAGTTATTGTAAGTCCGGCAGGAATGCCCTGGAGAGTTGCCTCAGGCCACCAGAGTGCCCACTAGCTCCCAGGATGCGGCTGGCCCCTCTGGCGTCCTCCACACCCAGCTAAGAGCGGCGAGTCGGTCACTGAGATGGAGGAGTGCGCCCGGACTCGCTTGGGGAGGATGCCAGCCGGCCTCCTCTACCTCAAAAGCGAGCCAAGAATGGGAGTGATCGTGTGTGGAGGGGGGCGGCGGGTGCGGGAGGAACAATCCAGCCTTAATTTCTCCCTCTTCAGCCCCGAGACACTCAGAGACACTCTTCCCACGGTTGCCTGCGACCAACCCCAAGGGCTAAAGCACTCACAAGCCCCACTGTCACCAGCCTTCAAATTGCAAACTTTCCACCTTCACCCCTTCTTTCCTTTGGGACCAGAGCTACATGGGGTGGTGCTACCACAGACACTCACACAGTTGGTTCTGGACACTTCGCACACGCTCAAACAACAGCGGCACAAGGAACTCTCAGCTTTTTCCACGGCTAATTATAGACGTGAAAATCTGAGGATGTTTTGCAAGTGGCAGAGAGAAACTGCTGAGGTTTCTCTACAAAGCCAAAGAAATGTAAGCTGTGCACTCCCCTTCTTCACTCTCAACTCCTACTTCCACCCTCCCACCCCACAGTGAGCCCATTTCCCAGCCCCACAACAGACCCTCCTTCTTTAAGGTTTCTTATTCGGTTCTTTCTTTTTCTTTCTTTCTTTCTTTTTTTTTCCCCCCATCTCTCTTTGGGGCTTTCGAGAAAGGGAACAGACGCGGAAAATATTTTTGCAAGTTTTCCATTCATCGTCTCATTCCCAAGCCAAGAGGGAGGGCAGGAGCGGATGGGGGCAATGAAATGCTTGTTCCAAAAGCTCAATTTGAGTGTCCAAAGACAGTCCCCCCATTTCCCTACCCCCACAGCCCAGGAATGACAGAAACTAGGAAAAGAAAAACAAGTCACTTGTTTGATTATATGATTTCTCAGAACTGAGTCTAAGAAAGAAACACAGTATTTGACAAATCTGTGCAAACCCCTCGCCGGATCCAACAGCAAGAAATATGCCAGGAAGAGAAAATTCATGGACTTTCAGAACCCATTGAGAGGAAAGGAAAAACAAAGTTTGCAAATCGCGCATCAATTCATTCTCTTTGCAAGCCTACCTCTCTTTCTAGCAAAGATCCAGGCTTCTCCAAGCAGGAATCTCCCTCCGGGTTTCCATGGACAGGGTAGGGTGGGGGTGACCACCCACTGGTCTCCCCAAAGTAGCAGCACGCGAGAGATGCTGGCTTTGCTTTCTTGCCTTTTTTTTTCCCCTGCTACAACCGGGGAGTGGGCCGGGTCTCCTCCCCCGGCCCTCCCAATGGGAAGGACCTCTCAGGTTCCGGGAAGAAAATAATGCAGGGGGTCTGGGCGGGTGTCTCTGGTCTCGCTTTCCTCGGAAGGATGGTTCCCCAGGAAGTTCGTGCCTCCCCCCTCAATCCCCAGTTTTGGATGGTCTCAACAGCAGAGCTCTCTTAAGAAAATGCTTGTCATGGCAACAGCTACAGCCAACTCGGACAGACACCAGCTCGCCAGCTCTCCCCAGCAGTGCGGGGTGGAGCAAGAGCTGGAAGCGGGTGGGACTTGGCGGGAGGCCAGAGCGGCACTCCTCCTTTAAGGTGGCCCAATGTGAGCTGCGGCTGCGTCCTGATCCTCTTAAGGGGGAATGGGGGAAAGAAAGGGGAGGAATCCTTTCTCCTCTCGGGTTTCCTCTTCGCCTTCGCTCTCTCACTTGTTGAAAGGAAAGTAAGGTGGGGGGTGGAGGTGGGGAGTGGATGTGGGTAGCAGTCTTCAACCGTTGATGGGTGGAGGGAAAAAAGGAAGCTTCTGCAGGCGGTTGGCTTCCTGCAGCTCTTAAGGGCCTCTCAACCTCTTACTCACTTAGACACAGGAACCAGAAACCGAGGTGTCTGTGGAAACTTGTACCAATTCTTTTCACCCTCTGAATAGAGGACTCAGTGGAGAAGGAATCGCTTGGGATGCACACACGTGAACACGCTTCGCTTGTACACACGTCTTAGTACAGATTTCTGGTCCTTGTCCAGATTTCACACACACAATTCTGGGTCACATTTTGCTCCCTCTTGCCTCTACCTGCAAGAGGCACATCCACAGCGTGTGATAACAGCTGCCTATTTTTCAGACCTACTATGTGTGGGCTATGGCACCAAAATCTTTGTATGTACAGTTTCCTTTCCAATGCTGAAGGAAATCTTCAAAGGTGATTATTATTATCTTTATTTCAGAGCTGAGAAAATTGAGAATCAGTGACTGGCCTAAGGTTACACACTGGATGAGCTAGGATGCAAGACCAAGTCAGATGGACTCCAAGGCTTCCTGTATTTTTCTGTACTTATCATACTCCAGCACACATTTCCATTTTAATTTGTAGAGTTAGACATCATGCACACTTATACACAGCCTATAAAATGTTAATCACACCCCCCCTGGCTTTGCACAACAATGCCACCCACAGACTTTGCCTAGAATCTTATGGCTTTTAAATGTAAGCATGCACCATAACTGGTTCACACGCCATGTCTTCATTGAATGAGCTGTTCCCACACCTACCTCAGCATACATACTCACTCATATACGTATGTTTATGGAAGGCAGGTTAAAGCTGCAAACTGCTGTGAAGAAGGTGACTCACCACAACTTCAGGGGTTTGAGAAGACTCCTCATTGATCCTCCCACCCTAACCCAACGTTTCACACCACTAGGGACTTCCTTTGCTGCTTGTCATTCCTGTCCCAAGTCAAAGAACCACATGTACATTGAGAAACAAAGTTGTGAATTAGGCCCTGGTCACTGGTTTCCCTCTACCCATTAGCATCCTTCCCAATTTCCTAACATTTGGGTCTTTTCTTTCCTCTCTTTACTTTCCAATCCTGCCATTTGTCAACAATGCAGCCACATCCTATTTCTGAGCTAGGGAAAGTGAAAAGTAAAGGAACTTTTGCCCTGACTGGTGTGGCTCAGTGGGTTGGGTGCCACCCCACAAGCCAAAAGGTTGCCACTTAAATTCAGGTCAGGGCAGATCATGGTATGGGTTGTGAGCCAGGTCCCTCTTGGGGGGACCCCCTGTGCAAGAGGCAACCAACTGATGTCTCTCTCCTTCTCTTTCTCCCTTCCTGCCCCTCTTTTTTAAAATAAATAAAATCTTTTTTAAAAAGTGGATGAACTTTTTGAAAAATATTGTTTCCTGAAGTAGGGTAGATTTTTCTGACTGGACTTAAATACTTTAAAAAAATTCTTCTTTTTAAATTACAGCTGAGATACAATATTATTTAGTTTCAGGTGTATAACCCAGTGATTATACATTTATATAATTTACAAAGTGATCACCCCAATAAATCTAATACCCATATGACACCATACATAGTTATTACGACATTATTGACTGTATTTCCTGAGCTGTACTTTATTTCCTATGCTGTACCATGACTATTCTGTAAATACCAATTTGTACTTCACAATCCCTTCATCTTTTCATTCATCCCCCCACACTCTCTCCCATCTGGGACCCCGGAAAGTGTTCTCTGTACCTAGGAGTCTGCTTCTGGTCTACTTATTTGTTTATTCTGTTTTTTTAGATTCCACCTATAAGTGAATTCATATGCCATTTGGTTTTCTCTGTCTGACTTATTTCACTCAGCACAGTACCCTCTAAGTCCATCCATGTTGTTGCAGATGGCAAGATTTCATTTTTCTTTAAGGCTGTCATTATTCAGTGTATATATTCATCACTTCTTTACTCATTCATCTCTTGATGGACACCTAGGTAACTTCCATATCTTGGCTATTGTAGATAACACTGCAATGAACTTATGAATGTACTGGGTTGGCCAAAAAGTTTGTTTGTTTTTTTTCTGTAAGGTGGCTCTAGTAATGCTTAGTTGTCTTTAACTTCATTTGAAGCAATTTTGTTAGATTGTATTGTAGCAGCTGTCATATCAGCATGCATTTTTAAAAAACTTATCAAATTAGTGAATTTTTGTGCAGCCATTTTAATATTGAAGATGGAAGAAGATACTGAACATTTTCAGCATATTATGCTTTATTATTTCAAGGAAGGTAAAAGTGTGACTGAAACTCAAAAAATGATTTATGCAGTATATAAAGAAGGTGCTATGACTAATCAAACATGTCAAAGTAATTTGTGAAGTTTTATGCTGGAGATTTCTTGCTGGACAATGTTCCATTGTCTGGTAGTCCAGTTGAAGTTGATAGCAATCAAATTGAGACATTAATTGAGGACAATCAATGTTATACCACATGAGAGATAGTTGGCTTACTCAAAATATCCAAATCAATAAAGTTATTGGTGAAAATGAAAAATGTGTCTTTTATTTTACAGAAAACACTAAACAGACTTTCTGGCCAATGCAATATACATCTTTTCAATTTAGTGTTTTGGGTTTCTTCAGATAAAGACCCAGAAATGGAATTGCTAGGTCCCTCTTTGTCTCTTGTTATAGTCATTGTTTAAGAACCCTTTTATGTACGGTATAAGAGTTGCTACTCCAGCTTTTGTGTGTGTGTTTCCATTTTCATGAAATATCTTTTCTATACCTTTCAGTTTGTGTGTATCCTTCTATCTGAAGCAAGTCTCTTGTAGACAGCATATGTAGGGTTATGTTTTGTTTTCCATTCAGCCACCATATGTCTTTTGAATGGATCATTTAAACTATTTACATTTATAATAATTGTTGATAGATGTACACTTATTGTCATTTTATTCATATTTTTAATCTTTTCTTCATCTTAAAGAAGTCCTTAACATTTTTTGTAATAGTGGTTTGGTGGTGATGAACTCCTTAGCATATTCTTGTCTGGAAAGCTCTTTATATGTCCTTTGATTCTAAATGATAGTTTTGCTGAATAGAATCATCTTGGTTGTAGGTCCATGCTTTTCATCACTTTGAATATTTTATGGCAGTTCCTTCAGTTGAGAAATCAGCTGACAGTCTTGTGGGAGCCTCCGTGTAGGTAACTAACTGTTTATTTTTCCTTTTTAATGAATGTATTGGGGTGACACTGTTTAACAAAATCATGTAGATTTCAGGTGCACAATTCTACAACACATTACCTGTACACTGTATAGTACATTCACCACCCCAAGTCAAGTCTCTATCCACCACCATTTATCCCCCTCTATGCTTCTGCAACTTTCTCCACCTCCCCACTCTCCACCCCCTGGCAATCACCACACTGTTGTCAGTGTCCATGAGTTTTTTCTCTTTTTTGCTAAATTCCTTCCCCTACCAGTCCCTCTTACCCCCACCCCAGACAGCTGTTACCCTGCTCTCTATCTGAATCTGTTTCTATTTTGCATGCTAGTTCATTTTGTTAATTAGATTCTACATATGAGTGAAATCATATGGTACTTATTTTTCCCTGACTGGCTTATTTCACTTAGCATAATACTCTCCATGTCCATCATGCTATCACAAAGGGTAAGATTTCCTCCTTTTTCATGACCAAGGAGTTCTCCATCGTGTAAATAAATGTTTTACTGTTTTTAATTAATTATTTATTTATTTTATGTTCTAGGCATAAGAACTATTATATAGATAATTTACAAATACTTCTTCTTCTCACAAACAATATCTATTTTTTACTATAAACAAAAAATTCACAGAACTTTAATATAGTAGCTTTCATACAGTAAGGTCTAATGCTCTTAGCTCATCTAAGAATTAATGCAAAGGAAAATATGTTTCTTTAATAAAGACTGGTGAAAGTATAAAATATGTTTTTTAATGGTTATATGATTTTTAAATCATTTTAAATTAATATTCAAATACAGTTGTCTCCATTTTCCCACCACCACTTTCCCCTGCCCTACCACCCCCACCTCCCACCCTCAATCCTACCCCCCCTTGTCTTTGTCCATGGGTTCTTTACATATCATCTTTGATGGTACTTTCCCTTCTTTCTCCCATTATTTCCCCTCCCCCCACTTTGGTTACTGTCAGTTTGTTCTTAATTTCAATGTCTCTGGTTATATTTTGCCTGCTTATTTGTTTTGTTAATTAGGTTCCACTTATATGTGAGATCATATGGTATTTGTCTTTCACCACCTAGCTTACTTGACTTAGCATAATGCTCTCAAGTTCCATCCAAGCTGTCGCAAAGTGTAGGAGCTCCTTCTTTCTTTCCGCAGAGTAGTATTCCATTGTGTAAATGTACCACAGTTTTTTTAATCCACTCATTTATTCATGAGCACCTAGGTTGCTTCCAGTACTTGGCTACTGTAAATTGTGCTGCCATGAATATTGGGGTGCATAGATTCTTTAAATTAGTATTTCAGGATTCTTAGCGCATAATCCCAGCAGTGGAATCGCTGGGTCAAAAGGCAGTTCCAGTTTTAGTTTTCTGAGGAAATTCCACACTGTTTCCACAGTGGCTGCACCAGTCTGCATTCCCACCATCAGTGTACTAGGGTTCCCTTTTATCCACAACCTCGCCAGCACTTGTTTGTTGATTTGTTTATGATGGCCATTCTGACTGGTGTGAAGTGGTATCTCATTGTGGTTTTAATTTGCTTTTTGCTGATGGCCAGTGATACTGAACATTCCTTTCATATGTCTCTGGGGCTTCTGTATGTCCTCTTTGGAGAAGTGCCTGTTCAGGTCCTTTGTGCATTTTTAAATTGGATTGTTTGTTATTGGGAACCACCCTGCCTGGTTTCAGAAG